GGTTTATGTTTGTTTCATTTATATTTGGCTATTTTTGGCAAATTCTTCTCTACAAATTCAAATTGAACCAAAGCGCTGCCAAACAGCTCGATAAATCAACCAGGCATTTGGCAACGATAGTGTTAATGAACATGATAGTGTTGCGAAATTTCATTCTGGAGGTTTTAGACTCGAAGATGAGCCCTGAAGTGGTCGATCTACAGTAATCCAGGACGAGGATTTGATGACAGTGGTGGAGACTGACCCATCACAAACCACCCAGGCACTTACCGAAAACCCATAAAAAAAATATGGCTACTGTATGGTGGTCAGCGGCTGGTGTGATTCACGACAATGCTCTTCCGCACGTTTCACAAACCACCGTCCGAAAATTAAAACAAATTGGACGTCACCTCACTCCCCAGACCTCTTTCCAACAGACTTCCATCCTTTCAAGCACTTCGAAAACTTTTTCACCAGTAAAACCTTCGCCAAACAGGATCCAAGCAGCAACGGGCTTCGTCGACTTCATCGAATCTCGAGTAGCCAATTTTTATGCTGACGGAATGAATCGACTTGTGCTATGTTGGTAAAAGTGCACTGATTCAAATGGCGCTTATTTCGAATAAATTGAAGAATAAATTGAGATATTACAGTTTAAAGTAGACTCATAAAAACGGACGCAGTTTTCGAAACAACCTGATATAATTATATGCTACTGGACTATTTAGATAAGAACATTTTTATATCCCAGTATGTCGAGTATGAAAAAAGTATGTAAAAAAATCACATAATATCTGTCACAATATTTTCTTAAATTCATCAGTGTTTTCGATGATTTTTTAAGTTGGCATGATTTAGTTTTGAAACAATAAATGTTCTATTACTAGGGAACCCTAGATTGTACTTATGTATCATTTTTATAAACTATAATTAAATAATAGTAAACATTTTTCAACTTATTGAATTTGAACTATCAATGGAGAATTGATTGTCTGAAAGTTTTCTACATGCAATCAAAAAAGTAAGTGAAATAATTCTATGCAATAAGATGAAAATTAGCAATACATGCACGTCATCCGTTATATCAAAATCCATTACATAACATTTGGAACAACTTCTAACAATAATCAACATTCAACAAAAAAATCATGATTGAAAGTTAATAACCAGAACCATTAATATCTAAATGAAATTATGTAGTTATTGCGAAGTCGATAGACAGAAGTTCATGACAATATCGACTGATATTCTGGGATCACAACCACCCAGAATTACCAGCTGATATTTCACGGACAACCATTGGATATGAAACTGAAATTCTTCAAATGATTAATGTTAAAGGCATGCCATTTGAATCACGTCAAAAGACATATTTTACCTTCTTCTTTCAGCGTAGATATTGTCTTCTGCGAAAGTTCTAATTGGTCGGAAAGTCTAGAAGCAGCCAACAGACCTTGGTTACTTTCTTCAAGTTGCGATTTGAGGTTTGATATTTCTTTTTTGAGTTCTTCTTGGACTTGTTTCTCGGCAACAATGTGTCTACGAATTCGCTCCGTTTCTTTGAAAACATCTTTTTCTTTATCTGTGAAAAACATCAATACACATCTTAAATGTTTTACAGATTACTAGTAAACATTCACATTTGGAACAAATATGTGAGTAACTAAGAATAAATTATTTGCACAGATGTGCAAATGTGCAAAACTAAAAATATAGGTAAAATACGTTTCTGAAAGTTATCATCTTGAAATAGTTTCTGGAGTAATACGTTCTGTCTTCTCTAATTGTGGTTTATGTTTGTTTCATTGTTATCACTATAAGCTATTGAAGTAATTTAGTAGCATAGTCATTCGAAATGTTACAAATTGCATAAAAATAACGAATTTTATGAGTATTTGAATGTCAAAACACAAAATAGATTTCTTAAATCAAATAAATTTTACTGAAACATTAGATATTTTATAGGTTAGGTTAGATTGGGTCAAAGTGAGTGGGCCTATTTGTCCCTCCACCGCAACCCGCAAGGGTTTATTGTGGCTCATACCTATTCAAACTCGACCAAATAAGCCCAGCTTCCTGACGAAGCCGGTGAGTGATTTTTCAGGTCAGATGGTGTAAGTGTGGTTCTACCAAACTCTGAAAATCTGATTCGGTCCGCAGCGGAGCAGGCACAAAGTATATGCTCTGCTGTTTTATCATTTTCCAAACAGAGGCGACACACACTGTCTTCCGACAGTCTTAGTCTCTGCATATGATGATTCAGACGACAGTGACCTACCTGCAAGGAGGCCTGTTAGACATCGTAGTTCATTCCTACTGTAGTCCAACAACTGTGGTTTCAAGTTTCGAACGGTGAATGAACGCCTTGGCGTGAGCCAATCCAGGAGATTGGCTCACTCGATATTCTTGCCATGTGTTCAATGTTTGTTTGCCAAAACCTAAAGCGATGCCAATGACAGGTTCTGGTCCGATGAAGCTACTTGCAGCACCCTCCTTTGCAAGGGAGTCAGCAGCCTCACTGTATTTTATAGGAGTCATAATTGATTATAAGAACATGATAGATGGGTTGGAACATAGTACATTTTGTTGACAATACTTAATAATAATAGGAAAATAATTTAAGATACAAACACCTCAAACGTATACAAAACTTGAACCAAATGCAAATCATGATCAGTTTAAATATTGCCAAGAGCCCAAATAAAAACAGGTGCATCTTGTTTCAACTGCACTCGAATATCACTTCTGACAGTTGATTATTAACGAAAAAAATATTGCACCGATTCAAGTTCACTTAACCCTCTTTCTACTGGTATTTTTTCAGAATCCCGTAGTGTTGTGAACTTTTGTAATTTCCACAAAGCTAGCTATTTCCCAGTTCATTGTTTTTTGTCGTTTATTCTCCACTAAGACAATAACAACTGTATAGATATCATTCCTCGAACAAGGCTGAAGCGAACGACAAACAACATATTTGTCATCGCCCCATCTGCCTCTAAAAGAGTTACTAGGTTGAAGGTGAAGGAATTCGATTTTTAATTATGGGAAATCGTCGACTTCATGTTGATGATGGACACTACCTTGCACTGACGACAGGCCAAATAGCCCGAAATCGGTCTGCAAGTGTGCCTGTTCCCATAATTGAAAACTGTTCTGGCAGTTGTATTGCCAACAGCATAAGAAGGAATTGCTTCTGTGGAGAATTCTGCACTGACACCTGTCGGATATAATTCACCGCCCTTCGTGGTATTAGCCAGGGGAGTAGGTGTCAGTACATTACCCTACAGTATAGGGTAATGGACCGGCCTGAACGAATTTTTCTTTTAAATAATTTGATTTACAGCCAGTTTTCAAGTATGCCCCTTTACTATATGTGAAAATAATATGGGATATTATTGTAGAATGAAACACATGTTTCGCTTAACAACCCACAACAAATTCAACTTGAATTTGTATTTTCATCAAGTATAAGCCAATTCCATCACATACCTTTTCTGAATTGTTCCAGGACGAATTGTAAATTCGCCAGAGCAGCTGCTTGTTTGTTATTTTGATCCTCTGCATCCGATATTTGCTTCCTCAGCAAATCCCTCTCGTTCATAACTGTCTGTAGCTGCTTCTGTAGAGACTCCACTTGCTGATTAGCTCTAATACTAACTGAAGTATATATTGTACTAGAACTTTTCTCCCTTTCATCTATCTCAGTAACCCTGGCTTGCAGAGAAGCATTTTTCTGCTCGGTCTGAAACAGCTCTTGTGTATAGTGCTCCTCAAGTTCTACTAAGTGCGTTTGTAGCCTCTCCAGTTTTTTTTGCAAAGTCACCTCCCTTTCTGAATGTGCAGACTTTTCTGATACTAGCTGTTGAACCTTTGACTGTTCTTCCAAGAGATTTTGGGCCATTACTTCGCATTTCTGTTTCAAAAAGTTATTCTGGTCCGTGAGTTTTTCAATTTCTTCATTTTTTACTTGTGACTTTTCTAAATTACGGTATTTTTCGGCTTCAACAGTCAACATTTGGGTCAATCGTTGTATTTCATTATGGTAGGCCACACTTTCTTGATGTTTTGTGGTTACTATGTTAACTAGTTCATTTCTAGATAATGATAATTCTTGCACTTGTTTTTCAAGCACTGAACATGTGTTCAAAGACTCATTCAACTTGGCTTCAAGCTGCTTTTGTTTGTCCAATTCTCCTTGTATATAATTTTTTTCTTTCAACAGGTCGTCATATTTCACTTTGAGCTCATTATAAGAATCTTCTGTTTGTATGTCTCCAATCTGCTTTTTCTCTTTTTCCGCAGCGGGTAGTTGGTCAAACTTGATGTCTTCAAATGTTACAGGTTCTTCTTTTAGCACCTGTCCATCAAGATTGTCTTTTGAGAGAAGTTTGTTGAAACTTTCTTCATTTTTCAAAGTTACTAATTGGTCCTCCAATTGTGTAACGATGCTGTTGAGCTTTTCGATTCGTTCTTCTCTTTCCAAAGCAATTTTTTCCAGTTCTATTTGTTTTTTGGTGAGAGCATCGTTTTGAGATTGAAGTTCCTCAAATTTATTTTGAAATTCTGCTAAATTTTGAATGGTTTGATTGAGCGATATTTCAAGGTTGTATTTGCTCTCTGATAGCGACACTGCCTCTTTACTTTTCTGTTCATACTGCAATTTCAGGCTAGTTTCTGCCATTTTTGATATCTGTAGTTTTTCCGTTAAGTTCCTAATTTGTAGTTCCAAATCTTTTCTATCACCTTGTTCTGCATGCAGTTTTTCCTTAACGACCGCTATTTCGTTTTTCAAATCGTCACTAATCGCTTTATTTTTTTCATTCTCCGATTTCAACTTGCAATTTTCGTTACTAAGACAGTCAGTTTTCTTTTTGAATGCTACTAATTCTTCTTTCAAACCATCAGTGTTAACGTGCAATTCACTGAGCTGATAGTCTACATTCTCATAATCAGATTTAACTTTTTCTAAAGAAAACTTCAGCTCTCGATTCTCATCGGTAACGACTTTTAGGTAATCTCTAGCCGCTTCAAGGTCACTTTGCAAAGAATCGTATTCAATTCGAAGTATGTCATAATTGTTCAATAGACGTTGATGATCCAATTCTTTTTTGTCAATAATATCTGTATCTCCATCTGAATTACCTCCTTTGTCATTCATTTGTTGTCTCTCGTAATCATCTATTATCCTTTCCAAATCTTCAATTCGCTTGTTGCTGTTGTCTAGCTGGGATTCAAGCAATACAACGTTATCTTCATTGGATTCCGATATCGTTTGGAGTACGGAGTTGTTCTTGTATGCCGCTAAATCACTAATAAGCAAATCATTATTTTTAGCGAGTTCACTGCATTCAATTTTATACTCTTTCAGCGACTGAGTTTTCTCCAAAACTTCTTGACTGAGTATGTCAGAATTGTGCAGCAATTTCTCGATTTCGTGGTTTTTTTCGGATATAATATTGTTCTTTTCTTCGGAGAGATCCATGACTTTCTTCTCTAAGGATTCACACTTATATCGAAGTTCTAGAAGAATTTTCATGATATTTTCCACTTGTTTACTGAACTCAGCAACCTGAGGATCGTCTTCATAGGAACACTGCTGGAGATCGGAAGGTTTATCGCATTCTTGGAATTTTTTTATATTTTCACTAATTATTTTAACATATCTATTATGGAGTTCTAACAATACTTTTTTATGAATCGCATCTAATTCTTGATTATGTTCTTTAATATCGATTAGTTCTCTTTCCAGAGTTTGGATTTGGTCATGAAGTGTTTCAACATTGTTTTCGTCAGTTGTGGTTTTGTCTTCACGTTTTTTCAAATATTCTAGTTCTTCCTGTAGGATATCGAGTTGAGCCTCATGCTCTTTTCTAATGTTATCCAGCTCCATTTCTAATTCACAATCCATTCTACCATTGGCTTTCAGTTGTAACGATTCATTTTCAATTTTCAACTCATCTTTTTCCTTCTTCAGGGATTGTATTTGATCCTGGTGGTTAACAATGAGTTCGAATACACGTTTTTCAAGATTATTTTTATCAGTTTTCAAAAGTTCCAGTTCTTCTTGCAACAACCTCATTTGTTCCTCAGTGTCGCTTGATTGATTCTCAGAATTTTGAAGTTTCAAATCTTCTACTTCTCTTTTTAAACTGTTTACTCGTTGTTCATAAGTTTCCAAAATGACTTCAAGTTTTTTGCTGGTTTCTACATCGTTCTCGCTTTTTTTCTCAAAGAATTTCAATTTTTTTTTTGCTTTCTGTAGTTCGATATAAATTATCTTGTTTTCACTTTGTAGCACCTTGATTTTTTCGATATATTTCATATTTTCTGCTTCATTTGCCTGTTTAACGTCATCTAACACTTTTTGTAATGTTTCATTCGAGCTTTTGAGTACACCAACCTCTTTCTTTGATTCATCCAAATCGCAACTGAGTTTGCGATTTTCCTCTGCTAAGTGCATGTACTTTTCTTTATATTCACCATCGACGCTGACTTCGCTTTCTTGTTTAAGCTTTAGTTGAAGCTCTTTCAGTTCGCTTTTCAATTTCTCTTCTATAATAATAAGTTTCTTATTTTGCTGCTTCACCTCAAGATAATTTTCTTTCATATCGTTCAACTCATCTTGTAGCTTGTCTCTCATGTTGACCACCTTTGATAAGTTCATTTCATTTTCTGAGTCGAGCTGTTCAAGTCGCAACAAGAGATCGTTCTTCTCACTTTCGAGGGATGATACCTTACTTCTCAAGTCGGATAAAGACTCTTCTGAAGTGATGGACGCTTTCCGTTCCGTCGTTTCCCAATTCCAGTTGCCATTTGATTCGGTGATATCATCTTGTTGAGTCTGAAACAAAAACACATTTACCGAATGGTGTTCCACCAAAAGAATCAAATTAAATAATTCCCAAGAAAGCAGTAACAACTCAGAAAATTTAATCAGTAGTTCAACAATAATCACTCCCTTTGCTATAATATTACTGATAAAGGAAAGGTATCCTATTAATAACCATTCGTCGAGTCTAACGGTTTCCTGTACGATATTTTCCGAGGTATTCATAACAAAATGGTACGCCTGCTTAACTTTAGGCTCATGCATATGATAAGAGGTTATTATCAAATGACTGGAGTTTCCATTTACATAGTAATCAGCAATATTTGTCCTAACACAAAAGTAGCATATAATGTTACTGATGTGCGTTAACAATATATCAGGTTACAATTAATACTGTCCTGCCGTTGGAAGGAAGGCGTTTTGAATATTTAAGCAAGAAAAAAAGTGAATGATCTCTGATTAGAATCTTATAAACATTTTATATACCGAGTGAGTCATGGTTAACTGAGTGACGAGTACATCCAATATGGCGAATAGCTAAGATGACGGACCAGTTTTTTACACACCTCCGTGATATGTGGATGTGGATATCAAATGAAAGGTTTTGCTGAAAAAATGACATGACGTGAGTCTCAATCCAATTTGGCAGTCTGTATGAGAGAAAGGACTGATTTTTTCATTCACCCTTATATCCCCCATAATGAGGGTATCTAATGAAAGGGTTTTCAGAAGAGAATACGTAAAATGAGGTGGGCCGCTCAATATGTAGGAATATGGGAAAGAAAGTTTTTGGCTTTCTACTACTCCATCTGATACAAAAAAAAAGGGATGAGAGAATCTTCCAAAGAAAGGAAGGAAGTAATCAATTTGAAACTCTATACATGAATGTGTAGATCATGCAAAGAAGTAACTTTCAGACACAAACTGAAAGAAATTCCTCCTGAAACAGCTAAATAGTTTCAATATCATACAAATTGTGTAATGTGGTATACTGGTAGCTTTCATTCAATTTAAAAGTTTATTTTCTCAAATGAAAGCTTGTTCCTCAAAATGTTTTTAACCACTCATTCATTCGAGAATAAAAACAATTTTGTGACTCTTCTAGGTTTAGTTTTGCCGGAAATGGGTCAAATGGGCCATTTTGTATATTTTCATATCTCAAAAATTTGGAAGAAATTCTGAATACCTTTGACATTATTTAAAATTCAGAATGGGAAAAAATCAGTTCTTTCACATATTGCTGAGATCTTCCAACAGGGACTTCTGAAACTTTGACAGTTGATAACAGCCATCTTGTTGAAGCTACATCTGTCAAATTAGTTGTCATTTATTGTAAATCACCATGGACGGATATAGCATTAAACAACACGTGCAAATTAATGAAATTCTTTTATCACAGTGGGTGTTCTATTAGGGCATCGTACCGCGCGCTTTGCCCATTTTAAGGTCGCCATATTCGTCCTATCGAAAGGACTATTCGCAATGTGGTGGATAAATTTGAGTCCACTGGTTCAGTTAACGATCGACCAATATCCGTACATTGACGAAACGCAAGATTTGCCGAAAACACCGCCGCTGTATGTGAGAGTGTGCAAGAGAACCCGAAGCAGTCGATATCGCGTCGCTCACAACAACTCGGCCTTTCGCAGGCCACAACTTGGCGAAATTTGCTTCGTGACTTGGACCTGCACCCGTACAAAATTCAACTGACCCAGAAACTGAAGGTAAACGACCATAGACAACGACGTGTGTTCGCTGGATGGGTTCTGGAGTAGTTGACAACTGACCCTAATTTTCATCGAAAAATCCACTTCAGCTATGAGGCCGATTTCTGGATAAATAGGTACGTGAACAAAGAAAACTGTTGAATTTGGGACGATACCAATCCACATGAGATCCAAGAGCGTCCAATGCCTACCGAAAAAATTCTGTTTGGTGTGGGTTTTGGACTGATGGCGTTATCGGTCTATATTTTTTTTTAGAATGACGTTGACCAGACCATCACTGTCAACCGCGAGAACTATAGAATGATTACCAACTTCTTTTGGCCTGAATTGGACGATCTGGACACCAACGACATGTGGTTTCAACAGGACGGTGGTACGTACCACACAGCTCGTTTCACATTGGATATTCTGCACTTGCGATTTGAGGTCATGGTCATTTTATGTGGAGGTGAACTGGCCATCGAGATAGTGCAATTTGACCCCAATAGACTTTTTCTTGTGGGGTTTCGAAGATATCTCACACACACACTTTGTTTTAGTTGAATTTAAAGATAGGAAGCGCTTAATGAAAAGCCCTAAATAATGACAAAATTAATAAAAACCCATTTTTAATTCCTCATTTTTTCAACAAATCCCATGTTACAAAAACATCAAGATTTGTAAAAATTGTTTTCGAAAGGATGAAACTCCCTTGTTAAGTACAAATGCAAAATAGCACACAAAATTATTTCATTTATCAAATTATTGGCAATTGTTTTCTTCAGCTGGTTATGATATGACATGGACTTAAATAACCAAAAACACCATTTTGAGTGGCATTAACCACTCCTTAAAGTACTTTCTTCTCATTGAAATAAATAACCGACAGTACCTGGAATGCTTCAAAATGCATTTATATAGTGTACCTACTGGCCGACACAAAATTAATTGCAATGAATGTCACAGGATCTGAGTTCAAGGTCTCTAAACTCTTTTGAACCACCTCTTTCAAACACAAATTATTTTTCGTTCAGCGCCATTGTGTAAAATAAAAAAAAACATTCATTTAATAGTTTCAGGATTTGCTAGACAGCAAATATGAAAGCCTTTATCCTATATGATATATGAAAAATCGTGGGAAGTTGAATTGAAATTCTTCATGAAGCTTGGAATCACCGTTTCCACCGCACAACCAAAAATGTAATATTTAGACACACGTGTGACGCAAGAATCTACATTTCACAATAACACTGAAAACTCCAAAGTCTAAGCTAACTTGGATTTTCATTCGTGAAAAGAGAACTAAATTCTTTTTTGCCTGAACCAGAACCTTTTTGTGAATGAAATAGTACCAATTTAATATAATAGCATGGAAAGCAAATGAGTTTTTTTGAGTATATTGATTTACAAAGGATATGTTTCTACTTCTCCATCTCGATACAACAAAAGTAGGAATTTCCCAAAAAAAAGGAAGAAAGCAATCAATGTCAAAACTCAATTCTATACAAAGAAAGTAACTTTCAGACACAAACATTGAATTGCACGAAAGAAAAATACTTTCGAAACGAATACTTTTATATGAACGCTGAATTATACAAGAAACACATTTCTCTATTCCGTTTATATTCCAAACATTCGTATGGGTTCGAATCAGATATTCGAATCACAGTATTTCTACACAATGGATCGAATCCACTCATGTCATAGATGACAGTACGTCAATAATAATACTTCGCTGACTTAATCAAGTCCCAGCCATAGGAATCTTGTTTAGATTGAAAGGGTATATTTTAAGGAGAGATTAATTTTTGGGAAAGAAAGTTTTTGGCCTTCTATTCCTCCATCTCCATACAAGAAATGTGGGAATCTTCCAAAGAAAGGAAGGAAGCAATCAATTCCAAAATGGAAAAGTAGAAAGTCAAAAACTTTTTTTCCCATTCATTGTTTTTAGTTTTTTCTTTTTGAAAAGAACGGTTAACTGTTATGCTGTGAAATTCGAGACAAAGGTTTTTGTAATGAGTTTTCGACTGAGACAAATCTGAAGTATTTTCCAAAAAAGTCAACAATCTTTCTTTCGAAAGTTACTCATTTTGTGGATATTTTCTTTGTGGGGGATACTGATTTAAATAGCGATTTAGAAATTACAAATAGCAAAATGTAAAAAAATTAAAGTAAAGTAAGATAACACTTTGAATACTCAAACAAATACCTAACTTATGTTAAGTACGGCATCATCAGTGGAAAAATACATTGAGATTGAAGAGTTAAATTGAATATCGACTGAAGATAGTAATCTTTAATAAAGTAGTGTTCCAATATAAGTCGAGTCAAACGTCATGGGCTTAACGATGTTGAACCGTTTTTAGACTTCCTGATTTGCAGGTGTAACTTTACGTAAGAAAAAAAAAACACATGTAATTAAAAACCATGAGGGTATTTAGTGTGAGACGTGGGCCTACCCGTCATGCCGTTTCTGTTTCATTTGTTCGGATACATATTCATAGCACACTGTCATATAAACATACGGGTCACAGGAAATTCGACGGACCAAGTGTTAACAAAGGTTAAATATTTGTTTCCCCGGTATTTATTCCAGAAAATGAATAACCGGCATTGAAATGTATAGAGTGACCCATTGCACATGGTGCGTGGTGCTATTCTAGTCTACAGCACATATGCCGGAAAGAGACGAACTATTTATGATTTTGATGTCATGAACACAGCATTTTAACACTGGTTCTAACATATAGTTTACAATCAAATAAATAAATTGAATAGTTTAAATCCTGGTGTTACTCAAAAATGATAAAAATAAAGTTCCCTCAAGTAATTATAGCCCCATTGTTGGTGAAAAAAATTATATGCCATAAAAATGAGTTCATCACTAAAAAACCTGATAATGTGCCATTATTACCTCAGAATATTAGAAAAACTGATAACGTCTAATTGGCAGAAATTTCCATTACAATAAATCTTTAAAATACAGGAGATTCAAAGAAATAAATTTATAGAGTGTAGTAATTTATTTGACCACTTTATATACAAAATTACATTTATGGCAAGTCATATATACTATAGGTACTATGTCAGACACTTAAAATGAGCAACAACGTCTCTAGATTAAAGTAATAAATTTTATAAATAAATAAAACTGGCATATCAAAATTCTTTAAAATGAAAACAGTGTCACATGAACGGTAATAAAATAAAGATATCAATATAAAGAGGTCAACAAGCATAAGAATAGGTTTCATCACAGCTTTACAACATGAATCATTTTTCAAGAACTATGAATTGACCACCTACAGCAGCATATTCTTCGATTGTGTATAAACAGTGGTTCAGAAGGTATCTCTTGATATTATTTTTGAAATTTCTGAAATCCAAAGATTTAACTGAGGGATGGACACAGTTATATGGACATATTTCTTTCCATCATTTGAGGTAAACTAGTATGTGATTTGTCTGAGCATATGAGGGTTGTGTCGTCGGCAAACAAAACACATTTTGTTGGTGAAATAAAGCTACATAATTCATTAATATAAATGATGAATAATA